TGATTAGAAGGGTGATTAATTAATTTAATTAATTTTAATTAAAACCAATTGATTACATTAATTAGTTTTAATTAAGTAAATAAATTCATTTATTTATTTATTTTAATGAGAAAATAATAAATTAAAATGTTTTAACATTTTATATGTAATGATAGTCATTAAATACTTGAAATATAATATGTTTTTATTTTTATTAAATTTATCATATAATTATTATTAAACATTTTACGTTTAAAACGTTAGAACATTTCTTTTATTAAAATAAACTTTTATTAAATAAAAGTAATTAATTATTTTAATTAATTTATGATTAATTATTCAATTAAATAAATTATTTTGATTAATTAGTTTAATCTTCTTAATCTCGTTTAGTCATAGTCAAAGGTTTGAAAGGCAACTACTTTTCACCTGACATTTCAATTTTGCCTAAAACTTTCTGTGATCAAGCAATTTGGTCCCGAAACGTTCAATTATTTCAAATTCATCCTCCATGTTTTCGAATTTCCTTTAATCAATCCCTCAAATTTTAATTTGTTGCAATTATGGAGGCTTGGCTTGTTTCTTATTTTGTTCAATTGTGTCCAAACGTTTTCAAAAATTGCAATTTCATCATTTTCCTTTTGAAAGTTACTCTTTTTTTTTTTTTGAACAATTTGTAATTATTTACAAGGTTAATTGGGTGGAGGGGAGAAAGGGGTTCCGTGGGGCTCGAATGTGCAACCCACGGAGATGAACAACCCTAACCCAGGGTTCAATACCACTGGCTCGGAGTGGGCTGTTCCTTTTGAAAGTTACTTAAGACTTAAAAATTAAAAAAGTTGAATTATAACCCTCAATTTTAAAATATGTAATCATATTTCACACAAAGGATTGTGAGATATGCAAATACCTTTCCTTACTTTTAATCAAATTCCTAAACCTCAATTTCTGCATATACTTGTTTTAAGTAAATTGTCTTATCTTATAAGGGTATCGATGCATGTCAATTGGTCCTTACCAGCATGATGAAACAATGAAAAGGATCGGATGACTTCAAAACAATAGCGATTTTATTTTCAACAGCAACATTCAAGCCTCTTAATTCCACAACACAAAACAATATCAACAATTTTTTAATGTTCAATCCATTATGTAATGGCAACTAAACAAAATGACAGGATGTGTGTCTCTCAATTAAGTCCTAATGCAAGCCTGAAGATGCTTAAGTCTCTTGATTTGAACCTTTATCTTGGCTTGGTCACAGGAAAAATGATGCTAGGTGATAATTTAATTTGTCTAAGGTGCCTCTAATTTAAGCAAGGAAGCATTAGATAAGTGCAAAAAATAATGGAGCATGAAAGTTTAAATATGTACATATGAATCCATATGAAGGATTGAAGAAACATTGTAATTACTAGATAAGAAAAACATGCAAATTATGAACAGAAAATGAACAAGAACAGCAAGTACTATATGAAAGTTCGATTGATGACGCTTACTTGCAACCTTGCAGTTGGCTTCCACTTTCCTTCTCTGACATCTACAAGGGGATTGAACATTTTCCTTGCTGTACATTTGTTTCGTGTACAGAGTAACAGGGGTCCAAACTCCACGGATTCTCATGAATCTCATCATTCGTAATCCATAATAACATTTGACCTACAAAACATAACTATATACTTCGTTTTCAAAAAAATAAAAATCATAATTGATCCCTAGAGAACTCATTTCTAGAGCTACTATATATATGTTGAATCACCTTCCAAAGCAATTCAACACCATGGCCATTGAAGAGATGCTGCTAATGAGGCATCTGGGCGGGACAGGGCATAAATGTCAATCTCTGAACACCATAATCAACGACTGTGTTCATAACATTCCTGTACTCTTTCAGACCAGCTAGCTAATTTGAAGTCACACACACGCACTCGTTTGGCTTTGAGGTAGAGCTGGCCTGGTATAGTATGGCTATATTACTCCCCTTCTTCGAGGTCAGTCTCCAGTCCCACATCGAGCAAGTAATTCTTGGGTCTTCCAAAATGGTTCAACTCGCTAACAAAACTGCTGAGGTCCTTCAGCTGATCAAATATACCTTCAAAACATTCCAGCATCTTCAATCTTGCTACTTCTTCTGCTCTTATATCAGTTGAAAAAATTGGATTTTTACGTAGGTATTGGAGGCGAAAGAGCTTACTGATTTTTCCTCTTGGTACCTTCAGCTTTGGAGCAGATAAATCAAGATATTCTAGATTTTCTAGATTTTCTAACATTTCAATGCCTTCAGGAGCCACACAAAAGCCCGCTTCAGCCAAATCCAACTTCTTCAGTGCTTTAAGCTTTGACAAGGAAGGCATACGTTTTAAACTCTCACAAGCATGGAGAATCAGTGCTGTAAGATTTTTTAAGCTACAGATGGAATTAGGTAGAGCCTTAATGCCAGTATAAGAAAGATCAAGAAACTTCAGTAGGGGCATGTTTGCTAGAAAACACTTTGGAATTTGCTTCAATTTTGCGTTACCCTTCAAAATTAAGGTTGAGAGCATCAAGCATTTGGGGAACATATTTATAGGGATATATGATATTTCATTGTCCATAAGGGAAACCTTGTCTAGATCTTCAGTCCATTCATCCTTCTCTGGTATCTCTGTCAATCTCATTTTAGCTTTCACCATGAACTTACTTGGACCGGTGCTCTTAACACGCAATGCCATGTCCCTCACAACATCATGCATCTTAACACCTTCTCCATATCCGTCATCACCTTCCTCTAACAAACAATTGTTTTCAAGCCTATTTAAAATTTCATGTCCTCTATCATGCATTTCTCTTCTGCTCCCTAATTTTTCAACAAGTCCCTCACAAATCCAGCCTTCAATTAGATTTGCTCTTTGAATCACCGAACCTTCCGGATACAATGAGCAATATAAGAAACATTCTTGGATGCTTGAATTTGTTAGACGGTCATAACTAAACTTCAAACGTTTAAATATCTCATCTTCTGAATCTTTCTCTGTACCCACCACACAGCGACGCAATTGACGTAATGCACTTCTCCACTCACGAATATCTCTTACGCCTCTCATGCTCCCAGCAATGACGACAATGGCCAATGGCAAACCAGCGCATTCTGCCACCATATGCTTCAAAATATTTTCCAAAGTAGGAATTAGTAGAATGTCGTGTCCAACCTTATCTAAAAACAAGTTCAAAGACTCTTGCTGTGGAAGAGGAGGCACCTTTACTATCTGACATCTCAAGTAGTTGCATACATCAACTGTTCTACTAGTAATAACAATTTTGCACCCATTTTCTATTGTTGGTTCTGGTATTCCAACTCTGTGAAGAGTAAATTTATCCCACACATCATCTAAGATCAATGCAAATTTCTCTGTTTTCATAATCTCCATCAATCTAGATGCCTGCTCCAATTCATCACCATCTTTTGGAAGACTTCTGTCCATTTTTCTAGCAATGTCATTTTGTAATTTTACAACACTGAGTGACTGTGATACTGTAACCCAAATAATCTTTGTAAACCCAATAGGTTCATTCGGTAATTTATTATTGATATGTTTCATAACAGTGGTCTTGCCGACTCCACCAATTCCACAAACTCCAATCATTCCAACTTCGCGACTCCTCAGGTATTCCCAAATTGTTTCCTTCAGACCAACCTCGCCCACCAAATTCTCTATTGGCAAACTGGTTCCAACAAGTGGGGGCCTTTCAATTACAAGACCTTCAGGGAAACTACCTCGATCATAAATTTCCCTCACATCTTGAATCTTTTGATGGACACGTCTTCCAAGGTTACCACGTGACAAGTTCGAAACATTCTGCACCTGTTCTTCAATATCTGGCATTTCAATTTCAATGACCTTCCTTGCATCTTCAAGCCATTCCTGCACTTCTTCTCTGACCATTTTTTCTGAGAGATCCACTACTCTTAGTTTTGCTTCTTTATCACTTCTCTTACGTTTTAAGTCTCCCACTCTTTTTTTTAGATCATCCACATACTTATGGCAGTTTTTGTGACAATCTATGTGTTCTCCTACAACTCCAAGAACTCTTTCACGAGTTATTTCACTAATTCTTTCAGAAAATGGATCAAGAACTCTTTCA